TTGTATGATATCTAACACTGGGGCTTTTTGTCATCGCTGTAGATTTACTCAGCGTTAAAAAAAAAAGAGAGAAATTTACCTACATCAACAAATATATGAAATATAAGTATAAGGATTAGGAACCTTGTAAAATACGGGCACGTTGATTTTTAAAGGTTATTGTAAATAACATCCTAATTATGTATAAATTAAAAACAGAACAATACAAGATGAATAGTTATTATTTTTTAATATGAAAAGACCTACATAATAATGGCCCCTGGTTCTATTTTTTCAACATGTGATAAACGGGTATTTTTATTATTCGAATTTTTTAAATATATATTTAACATTTTTATTTGTTTTAAAATAATTTCTTTACGTAACAATATATATATATATTATTGTACTATTCCATAAGTAAATTTGAAAGTAGATAAGGTTTTCAGTATATGAATATTATAAAAATATATTGATAATGAACAATGGTATAAGATTTAGGATGTAATAAATAATAATGTATATTAAGATAAATTGTGTTTTTGAGTATGCATTTTTCTCAGTATTTTTATCATAATTATTTTTGTTTTTATTGTTTTTCTAACTAACCTGTTGTTTGCATTGGGACTGTTGTGATATCTGGGAAAACAAAATATTCACAATATCAAAATTATGTTAGAATAATTACTATAACATGCAAATACATACTGATAGTAACTTTTAAACCAAATTTTTATTATGCAATATTATAACTTTGTTTCTACATATATGTTTTTAAATTGTTTTCCAACATTGTTAACGTTTTTAATAGTTAAGTTTAAATGTACTTTCTTACGTAACAAAATATATTTGTGTTTTTGAGTATGCATTTTTCTCGGTGTTTATACCATAATTCTTTTTGTTTTTATTGTTTTTCAAACTAACCTGTTGTTTGCATTGGGACTGTTGTGACATCTGGGAAAACAAAACATTCACAATATCAAAATTATGTTAGAATAATTACTATAATATGCAAATACATACTGATAGTAACTTTTAAACCACATTTTTATTATGCAATATTATAATTTTCTTTTACAAAATATATTTGTGTTTTTGCACTATCTATATAGTTAACAACATAAATTATTTAAAGTAGATAAGAATATAGATAAATATATATTGATAATGAACAATGATATAAGATATATGATGCAATGAATAATCTACGGTATATTTGTGTATACAATTTTTTCTGAATTTTTAATAATAAATACATTTTTTAAACTATGTTGTTCGCATTGGAACTGTTGTAACATTGTAAAATCAAAACAATTATAATATTAAAATGTTTTCTAGATGTATCTTTAATTGTTTTAACAATATTATATTTGATTTAAAGTAATTTAAGTAAAAACAATCGATTTTATTATACCGTTAGGTGAATTGTTTTTCAACATTTGTTAACGTTTTTTAATAGTTCAAGTGTATTTTCTTTACGTAACAAAATATATTGATGTTGTTGTACTATATATAGTTATTGAATATAAATTATTTAAAGTATATAAAAATATAGATAAAATATATTAATAATGAACAATCATATACGATTTATGATGCAATGAATATTAACCTACGGTATATTAAGACTATTTTTTGTGTATACATTTTCTCTGCATTTTTATTAATAAATACATTTTTTTAACTAACCTGTTGTTCGCATTGCAACTGTTGTAACACCTGTAAAATGAAAACATTCATAATATTCAAATATGATTTTATAATTGTTCTGCATACTACGAGTAATGTTTGATTGTAATTTTTAGTGTTGCAATACACTTTTTCTAGGTGTATTTTTAATTGCTTTTTTTTTAAACAATATACTGTATTTGTTTTAAAGTAATTTTTGTTAAAAACAATCAATTTTATATACGGTTTTTCTATTTAATAAATAGAAACTTATCTGTAAAGTAGATGAGGTTTTCAATACAGCGAATATATAAATATTATTAACAATGGAAAGAATTTAGAGTTTCAATTATTATACTGTATATAATCCATATTGAGAATAAATATATCATTTTTCTCTGCATTGCATCAATATATTTTTCAACTAACCTGTTGTTTGCGTCGGTCCTGTTGTAACATCTGTAAAATCAAAACATTCATAATATTAAAATAATTTTTTATAATTGTGGAGAAGACAAGTCAACCAGTCATTCGCCACAATCGTGTTTCAGAGAAAATAGCCAGAACATGCTGGAATGTCAATTTGTTTTAAATCTATTTTATTCCACAAAACTAACCTTTATATAGCTATACATCATGCTATGCTGTTGTTGTCCCCATTTTCAATGTTAAAACAACACTTTTTAAGGATTTCATGATAGTTTCTGAATGAGACATGCCAAAATTCCTAAACTTAACAGGCTGATTTCTCATATTGTTCTTTAAACAGCTGTATGTTTAATCGCTTGTAACTTCATAAGGAAATTTCGGATTTGAATGATTTTTTTTTTATTTTATACCTCTTATTTTACTTTTCAACACTGTATTTATGACTCAAAATCGATTTTTGATGAGTGAATGGTTTGGCTTGTCTTTGCCACAATTATTGTATAAGGTTGCAAATGCATACTGATATTAATGTTTGATTGTAATTACAACATTAATTAATTAATTATAACATTGAATTTATTGAGTTGTTGATGTAACTGATAATAATCTACATTTATTTTTGAGTATACAATTTTCTCTGCATTTTTATTGATAAATACATTTTTTTAAACTAACCTGTTGTTCGCATTGCAACTGTTGTAACACCTGTAAAATGAAAACATTCATAATATTCAATATGTTTTTATAATTACTCTGCATACTGCGAGAGTATTGTTTGATTGTAATTTTTAGTGTGCAATACATTTTTTCTAGATGTGTTTTTAATTGTTTTTTTTAACAATATATTTGTTTTTAAGTAATTTACGTTAAAACAATCAATGTTATATACTGCTTTTATATTTAATAAATACAAACTTATATGTAAAGTAGATAAGGTTTTCAATACAGCGATTAGATATTAAACATTAACAATGGAATGAATTTTGAGTTTCAATTATAATATATTATATAATCTATATTGTGACTAAATATATATTTTTTTTACATTCTATAGCTATACATTATACTATGATGTTGTTTTTCTCCATTTTCAAAGTTAAAACAACACGTTTTAAGGATTTCATGATAGTTCTGAAGTTGAAATGCCCAAAATCCTAAACTTCGCAGGCTGATTTCTCATATTGTATGTTTAAACGCTTGTAACTTAATAAGGAAATGTCAGATTTGAATGATTTTTTTTCCATTTTATAGGTATTATTTATGACTCAAAATCGATTTTTGCGACGAGTGAATGGTTTGGCTTGTCTTTCCCACAATTATTGTATAATGCTGCAAATGCATACTGATATAAATGTTTGATTGTAATTACAACATTGATTGATTGATTATAACATTGAATTTATTGAATTGTTGATGTAATTGATTTGATAATAATCTATATTTTTGTGTATACAATTTTCATTATAAAACCACTAGGTGGAAACTATTGAAGAATAAACAAACCTGTTGTTTGCATTGCCGCTGTTGGACCACCTATAGGAACAAAAGATACAAATTCTATAATATAACAATACTAATTTTATTCTCATTATCATTCTATCAAATAGGTCATGTGGGTTTTTTTTGTTTTTTTTTTTCTTTTTGTTTTGTTTTGTTTTGTTTTGGTTTTTTTTTCGATACTTTTAACACATCCTTGCTTTCTTTGTTGGCAGTTTACTTGAATAACTGTACAAGTATATACCAGATTGCTGTGATTTTTGGTGAACATTCTCAAACAGGTTCTTGCAGCTTTCTGTGTTAGCAATTCACTTAATAAAGGACATGTCTTATCTAGCATGGCATCATAGTTCGGAAATTACTTTTCATTTTTATCTTTAGCTCATGACCCATCCAATCATTCCTTCACCGGATGTACTCTTACAAGGCTGTCTCTTATACACATCTAGATGTGTATAAGAGACAGATATTATACACTTTATAGAGATTTAACGTCTAGAAATTTACAAATGTGTAACTCTAACGATTTAGATTTAGATTATTGGCGTAAGATTGCTAGCAACAGAAATTTGTGGAAAATGTTATTTTGATTTTCCGTTAATGTTTTAAAGAAGTCTAATTTTATTTGTACTTGACTTGATCAGAGTTTGTAAACTCAATGATTATTGAGATTTTACTAATTTTTGGAATAAAGAGATTGTGCAGTGGCTATTGTTACATCAGATTCTGATTTGATGGTATTGTATCATGGTCAGTGGACAACGACATTAAAAACCAAACATAATTATGAAATAGTTATGACTTAAAACATATTTTTAGTTATGATTGAAACCATATTTTTTATAATATTCGTACATACCAATATGGTAGATAGTCAATGGATCTACCGCGAGGATTACATTATCTGCTGTGACAAGAGATCCATTAGCAGCCGCACTTCTAAGTACGGTTTCAACGTCAGAGCCATTTACATTTGGATCTGATACGCCGAGTCCAAGATCTGCTACAATACTTCCGCTACTAAATTGAATTACTCGGCAGTCCAATAAACCAGAGACATATAAGGATAGCTTTGAAAAAAGAATCAAGAATGCGTATAATTTATAACGAATTGACAATTAGTAAGGAAAATATCTTATAGAAATTTACATGTTTTTGAATACTAATTCTAATGAAGAGATTATGTTGCTAGCATACAAGATTCTTTTGCAGAAGGCTAATATGAGGCAATGCAAATGAATGTTTAGAAAACCATGATAACTTGAAGCGCTGGTTTTGTTTTTTCGGACACAGATGGTTTTTCCTCAAATGTCAACGGATCCAGAATTTGGCTCATTCTTTTCTCTGCATAAGTCACTAATGTATTCAGCGAAACTTAATTCTAACTTATTCACTTCCTATCAAATATCAATTTATACTTCTAGATGAAGAAAGACAAATAATGATAAAAAGAAAAAAGAAAAGAAGTAATAAGAGCAGCGACGGTCTCCATATAATGATTGATTGACAACAAATCGTTACCCCTTTCTTCATGTTTCTATTTGCAACACTTCAATGTAGCCTAAACATAACAAATTTAAAACAAAGCCGCTACATGTATAATAGAAATGGTTTGTCGCCATTTCACTTAGAAGGTGGTGGTGAATTGTAAAGCCGAAAAATAGTGTGTTGTTCGCATCTGAGTGCAGCGAATTAAGCAGTCATTAACTTGAAAAATAAAAAAGGCTCCCAGCGGGGAAACGTTTACTGCTTGCCATGTGGGTTTTTTTTGTTTTGTTTTTTTCTTTTTGTTTTGTTTTGTTTTGTTTTGGTTTTTTTTTCGATACTTTTAACACATCCTTGCTTTCTTTGTTGGCAGTTTACTTGAATAACTGTACAAGTATATACCAGATTGCTGTGATTTTTGGTGAACATTCTCAAACAGGTTCTTGCAGCTTTCTGTGTTAGCAATTCACTTAATAAAGGACATGTCTTATCTAGCATGGCATCATAGTTCGGAAATTTACTTTTCATTTTTATCTTTAGCTCATGACCCATCCAATCATTCCTTCACCGGATGTACTCTTACAAGGTCAATTGCCCGACGATAACGAAGTGTCTACTGCCCCCGGGGGGCAAGAGACGCCATGTTAATTTAGTGTGTAATGATTAAGAACAGTTTTTCATAATGTTTAGTTTTTTATTCGATATAGACTCATATTATGATGTGTAAAACTTTTAAAAAATTAAATAAATAAATAATCATTAAGAATCACTTACAGCAGAGCACAGGTAACTTTGGTATAGTATGAAACGGTCAGACAATTCATTTAGTAAATCACTTCCAAAAGCAACTGAAAGACCGTTCACCCCAGTAAACGTCAATCTCATTTCCATTCTATTTACAGCTGCAAATATAAAATTTCAAAAACCATTTCAAATACATTAAAAAAAAATTATACAGTTTATTGAACTAATGCATTTTCATTATGGTAAAAATGTTATTCTTGTTGACGTTCTGATATATAGATTTATAAATTGTATTTTATCGTACGAAATGCACACGGTATATTTTAGCGTTTGAACAAAGCACTGTCGAAACATTTCAACAATTGCTCACTAAGGAGAAAACGACAACTTTCTGAGCAACACAATGATTTTCATATAAGGCGTATTATTTACAAGAAAAAATATAAATTATTTAAAATATATTATTCATAATTCTGGACATTTCTTTAGCGCTAGTGTTCACCATTCAGTGCTCATGGCGCTTATGCCACGCAAGCTTGAAAATGAACAGAGAAAAAAGTAACAGAAAACCAAGAATGAATTAAGTCAGTTAGTGGTTGGAAATCGGCCATTCATGACCAAACATCTGCCTTGCAAGAGGTACTATAATAAACTGAAGTATGATTTTAAGAGACGAGACTTCAAACTACATTTAAATGATGCTTGGCTCATTGATTTCCAGATGCGTAAAAGTAGCTTGTTCCATATTTTCAGTGCTGCGACAAGGAATGATCTTAACAATTGTTGTGATTTTGGATGCTTTCAGCATATTGTGAGACATCCATGTTTGAATATCGGTTAAACAGCATTGCAGCTTTTTAAAAGTAACAGTTGTTTCAGCAGTGGGGTCAAAAGGAAGAAAAATCTGGATATCATCAGGGTCACTGTGGGAATGTAAGATATTTGCAATGTGGGGGGGGGGGGTATAAAAAATAAAAAGAAGGCGATCGAGAACACTTCCTTGAGGAAAACCACATCGACTCTGAGTGGGTTCAGAATCAAAAATATTACTTAAAACCAAGAAGAAATGTAAGACTTAAACCAGCAAATAATGAAGTCAGAAAAACCAAAATGGAAGGAAAGTCTGCGGAGGAGAACAGAATGGTCAATCGTGTCAAAAGAAGCAGATAAATCTAACTGTACAGGGCAAATGCCATGCCAAATTCAACGCATTAAATATCATTAAAGAGATAGCTAAGAGCAGATTCATTCGAATGTCTGGGTTTGTATGCAGATTGGTGGGGTTCATGAAGGTGAATTTGTAAGAAAAATTCAGAAACTTGAAAAGAAACACATTAAAGAAAACAAAAGAGAGGTTGGAGATTGTGCTTTTTAATTAAGGTTTGGCGGACGCAATTTTAAATGAGTCATAAAAACAAGGTAGTGAGAGACTTGTTAATAATAGTTAGAAGGAAATTTGCAAGGACATTAGAATAAGGCTTTTAACTAAGCCAAAAAAATTCTTGTTATCACCAGAACAAGAGTCCACTTGACACCTGATGGATTCGGTTTTGGAAGAGTTTAATTTATTAACGAGCACCATTAGCTGTTTCTTATAGGCCTCCGCGATCGACACTTGAGCGGTATGAGCACGTTTTTCTCCAGTGACGCTCCAACTTCCTGCACTTTCGTTTGATGCAAACCAACAGATTTATTGTACCATGAATTGTACTTTCTGTCTCTAATAAATGGAATATTTTGTTACGCTAAATAAAATAACAACCGTTGTAGTATCCAATACAAATCTAAAATCCAGCCTTATCCTCAACACGTGCCATTCTTCGTGTACAAATTGATTGAGCATAATAACAGTTTATGCACTATCTACTTATACAGAAAATTAGAAATAATTTTTTTCACATGAATGTCTTTTATTTTGTCTTTATTGAGGGTTTTCTCCACATTGTAACTTTACACCGTACTAGCCTAGGCCTATATCAGTTTACATCTTGGATAAAATAATGAATACCCGTCAAATCATACAAATGCATCTCGTACCTTCAATAGATACAGTTACGCTGCAATTCCCGGTATTGCCAGACAGGTCCGAAGTTGTAAAGGTAAATGTATGAGTTCCAATGCCGAGATTTAATGGGATTGATGGTTCACTTGTAACATCGCCTGTTTCACCTGAGTTATCAAATACACTGGGAGAAGGGATATCCACAGGAGTTGATGCTTCACCGAAGTTAATGTAAACTGTCCAATCTGCTGCACATACTAATGAAGGAGTCTCTTCATCTACACGCAAAAGAAATGTTCAAACAACGTAATTCATTTTTGACAACTTATAATAAAACACAAATAAAATGTTATGCTGTAAAAATTTAATAGGCCTACTGTTTATATCCACCAAGGAGCATCTATATTATTTTCTTACCTTTAACAGTTACCATGACGTTGCAAAATCCGGAATTTCCAGCTGAGTCCATAGCTGTAAAATTTATTGTATGTACACCTATAGCAAGGCTTGCTGGAATTGACGGACTGCTTGTAGCAACGATGTCTTCATCAGAATTATCTAATACACTAGGTGACGTAATAGCTACTGTAGCTGTTGCTTTACCAGGATCCGTTGTGACTGTCACAGCAGATACACATGTCAAAACAGGTGGTTCTACATCTGTATAAAATAGATGAAAAATGTATAATTATATCTAGTTATTTTAGAAGCAGCAAATTTACCCAAATTTATTTCAACTACAAAAACAAATTGTTCTAGTTTTTTAATTGTCTGGAGAACAGCAAGTCAATTTAATATGCTTTAGCTATAACCTGAAAGAACATAGTTCACAATGGAGTAATTAAGATTTATTTAGCAGGCAGACACGGCCCGCTATACTAATGAGTGTGAATCACTTGAATGTGTAATAAAGCAACCACAAACGTAGGTCTACAGCAAATACATCCTATGTTGTATAAAAATGCAACATAGATAAGCTAAAGTAGAGAATTCTACTTTCCTTGTTGTTAAGGGTTGTCCTAATCATCTAAAACAAGGGAATTAGAATTACCCCGAAATAAGACCATTTTGCATGTAATTATTTTAATAAATTCAATCAACGAAAAAATATATAGGCCTATACCTGGTGGCGCGTAGATAACATTATCTGGTGGCACTCTCCCATTATTCAACGCAGTTGCTAATTCGAAAATAGTTACTAACTGAGTATAATTAGTTCCTGATTCGATTCTTAAGTCTATGCGGAATTCAACCAATAATCCTTCTGTGATATTGGTAGAATCCATAAACATGACGTCAAGCAAATCTGCGGATAAACTGGTTGTTTTGAGTAACTCCGACATCTGAAAAATGCAGTTTTAGAAACAATAAGGTTAAATCCTGTAAATAAGGAGAACTTTTATAAACCGTCTCTTAAACTCGTACGTGGCTGTTATTAAGATATCTTTATGCATAATTTAAGTTCTTTATATTTTACTTCCAATTAAAATCGAGTATTTTTCTAATAACAGAATTAAAAACTGAATAAATAAAATGAGAACCAAAAAATAATAATACCTAATACAAAATTTGATAATAGGCCTATACACAATATACATAAACCAGACAAAAAATCAACAATGTATATTTTGTAAAACAACGATGCACAAATACATATACCTGAGAGATCTGGATGTCCAAGGTGTTATAAAAAGCATTTTAATAACAGTTACTTGTATTCAAATACGAAAGATGGTATCGGACTGCTTTTGCAGCTATGTGATATTATTATCATGTGCATGGCTTTTTGGAACAAAATAGAAATAAGTTGGCATTTTTAGGTACCGGTACTTTATTGTGTATTTATCAATGAATATTATTGTTTTTGTATTCAGAATGAATTAAATAAATAAAATAAACAAATAAAATAAAATATGAAGAACCTATATTTATCATTATTATTGTTAGTATTTATCTGACAATTACAAAAAAATATTAAAAATTTGTGGACTCTGGATATGTAATTTACAGTGCATTCGCAGATTAAAAAGCGACCGACTTTCTGAACCATTTCAACTTTTACTTTCAAAAATTTTCGTACTCGTTTAACAATATTCAATACATTTCTGGATAACTGGTGTTCGCAAATCCTCAAAACAAACCTTTATTATTTTATGTTTTAAGGGACTGAGATACAGATGATTTCTTCTGAGATCAGATCTCAAAATCATTACATCACGCATTATTACGACAACGCTTGTTAACAAGTATTACTTACATCTTTAACTAGAGTATTTTTCTGAGTTAAGGTCAATTTGGTGTTTGGTCCGACCTCTAGGCCTCCAATATAGGTGAAGATCACAGGAAGATTCAATGATAACGCCTCTGAAAGTGATATTAAAATATATGAAAATAGCAAAATAACATATTGTACTATTTGATAGATATGGCTGTCATAAAATCACTTCCAATGTGTGTTAAATAAAGATGTCCTATATACTAAATATAGGATGTTATAAAATTAAAATATAATTTGTTTCAGCGAGTGTTACCTGTACATATGCCAGATATATTACTAAATCCTTCTGAGCAACTACAAAAGAAACCTCCGTCTGTATTCATACACATTGTATTTACTTCCGGACAGGTGCCATTGGTGTCGCATTCATTTTCGTCTAATATATGAATTTTTCAAAAACACATCCGTTAAATTAAGCAACATTTTTCAGACAATCATTAGGACTTCTCGTAAATAAGTACAATAAAAAAAATACAAATTAAATCTATAACCATAATAAATTCGAAGGGTTTGACAAAGAAATTGACTTGATTTTTATAAAAATTCAGAAATTGGGTAAATGAACCCAAAACGATCTTTATGAGATCCAACGTTATAGACTTTCAATATTTTTCCTCATGAAAAGATAATAAAGCACTATAGGCCTATAAATAATTCAATTTGTAAATAAGCTGAAATGAATACCAAATAATTCATAACAGCACACAGAAAACTATTAAACTACAAGATGCAAAATCAATTGATCGATTATACCTCGATAAGCCACATGCCCGTATTAAAGGTCAAACGAACATTTTAACACAACATAGGCCTGGCAGCTAGTCCTCATTGTTGGCGCTGCCTTCGGAATTGTTTAGAGAAAGTGAAGAGTGATACATAGTTTAAAGAATACGTGCATCATACGGCTAATAATATATCGTTAAGATAAATTAATCATAGCTTGCTAATAATCTCGATTTTAAAGATTGTGCTAACTTGAATGCCTTTGTTGTGTGTCTTCACTGTTTGTTTAATAATAATAATATATATGTTTATGTTGATTGACCTTCAATAAGGGCATGCGCAGTTCAAACTACGAAGTTGCGTTTTAACTAATGTCCGTGTTAACAACCAGACAACGTTGTACGACACAGTCCTACGCAATTTATCGTCGCGTCATGTCTGTATTAAACGTAGTCGTCTTGAGTCAGCGTCTTGGTAAATCACGTCGTACATGAATATGTTTAGTATTCTCACGACGATCTTAAAATCTCCCCGACGGTAAATTGCGTATGGCTTACTCCATAGCGTACCTGCACAATTGATACCGGTGCCTGTATATCCGTCGTTACACTGACACCCAAACGATCCAACAGTGTCATTACATTCTGCATTTATGTCGCAATTGTGAATCCCTACAGTACATTCATCAATATCTATAAATAAAATAATGAAATAACCTTTAAAATTTAAATGTTCAAGGTATATCTTCAGTGGTCCATGGATCTTTCACAGATATGGTGTCAATACCACCTCAGCCCCACCATGGTTGAGGATGAGGTAAGAAGATTTATGATTAAGAATCCGCCACTGGTCTTGTCAGTAACTCAACTAAACACATTTTATTTTGGACTTATGTTGGCTTGCTTTGTAGATTTATGTATTAGGCATTTTATATGGTTATACACAACTAACTATAACATTGTTTGACTTACTTTGACAATCTCGTTCTTTGCCAGCTCCCGTGTCAATGTAACCCATGTCACAAGTACATAAAAATGACCCTACCACGTTGGAACAGATGGCGACAGCATCGCAGTCATGTGTAGTGCTATTTGTATCACACTCGTTGATATCTATGTTTCATGAAAGATGTATTTAACACACATTGCTACATAAAATCTCATGATTTTTCGGGTGTTACCAAGATAGAATTAATGAATATAAGAGTACCTATCAACATTATCAACTATAAAAATAATTTTTTAAAAGTAATAATAATGATAAATATAGCATAGTAACAGAGGTGTCGCTGCGCTGAAAGAGTCGACATAATTCCGTAACGATAGTTATACAGATACGTTTAATGGTAAGATTTTACCTGAACACGTGGTTCCATTTCCTTCGTACCCGGTGTTACACACACAACTGAAACTGCCATTCGTGTTTGCACATTCAGCATTAATGTCACAGTCATGGATATTCTCTTCACATTCATCGATGTCAGTGCACTGGGACCCATCTCCACGGAACCCTTCGAAGCATGCGCATGTGTAAGATCCTAGAGTGTTACTACATTTGGCATTCGAGCTACAGGTAGGAGGACCATCGCACTCATTTATGTCTATTAAATGTAAACAAAGTGAAGAAGCCGATTACATATATCCCCAGAAGATTTACACAATAATAAGCCAATATAGTCAGGTTTTGAGTACACTATATGAAATAGAAGTCGAAGGAGCCATTAATTCGTAAAGAAAATTTTCCAGAAGCCCGCCTGCAACGAAATATTCCACCGCGATGTACTGTAGTAAAATCAATCGGAAATAGGAAAGTTCAGTGCAAGTAACAGTGATGACGTCACCACTGACTTGTAATCGGAATAAGAGTATCTCGATGTAATCTCTAACTCACCATCACACGTCTCGTCTGTTTGGTTATACGCAAAGCCTTCATTGCAAGTGCAATTGAAAGAGCCCACCGTATTGGTACATAACGAATTATCCGGACACGATCCTGCAATATTACATTCGACGACATCTAACAAAAGATAAATACATATTTAAAATACATGAATAATATTTAATTAATAATTGTAAAAATATTACCCGTACCACAATGTTCGTTATGAATATGCTTTCAAATATAATCAAGTTAAAAAAGTATTTTTATAAATATTTATAGACCTAATGAAAATAATAATAATAATAATTATTTATTATTATTATTATTATTATTATTATTATTATTATTATTATTATTATTATTAATACAGTACTAACAAAAATAACAGCAAGAAAATAAAAATAATAATTTGTAGTTATTTGTGGACTAATCAATCAATATTATTTTATTGGAGTTTTGAACGTTGTTTTATTAACAGTTAAAATAATATCGAGATGAAAAGTCCCAAGGCAATAATAATAATAATAATAATAATAATAATAATAAAAATAATATTATATATATATAAAGAGATTAATTAATTGATAACAGTTAAAATAATATCGAGATGAAAAGTCCTAATATCAATAATAATAATAATAATAATAATAGTATTATATATATAGAGACACATTGATTAAATGATTGACTGATTGATCGATTGATCAAACGAATTGATTGATTGATTGATTGATTGTTTGATTGATTGATTAATTGATTGGTTGACTGACTGATTGAGTGATTGACTGATTGACTGATTGATTGGTTGATTGGTTGATTGGTTGATTGATTGATTGATTGGCTGACTGATCGATCGATCGATTGATTGATCGATCGATTAATCGATTGATTGATTAATTAATTGTTTGTTCAATAGATTGATTGACCGATTGATTGATTGACTGATCGATTGATTAATTGATTGACTGGTGGATTGATATATTTAAGCAATTCGAATCAGCATGGCATGGGTAAGAGGTAGTACAACTACACTCGTTAATATCTGAAATGTTGATGGTATATAAACAGCCTTTTTAAAGGTATAAGTAACAGCATTCACATTATTTTCTGTGTAATACAAGCAATGTGACATACAAGGCATATTTTTCATTATCTTTGAAAACCTTCAAATGTTAAAATTAGAAACATTCAGATGATGGTGATAAAAATGCAAACATTTATAGCAAACTTTAAAAATATAGTAATACTTCTATTACAGGGTTAATAAAACGATCAGGCCTAACTAAAAAATCGTAAGTAAAACAAAACATCTTGAGAAAAATCTTGCCCATGTTGAGTGATTGATTGATTGATTGGTTGATTGATTGATTAGCTGACTGACTGATTGACTGATCCATCGATCGATCGATCGATTGATTGATTGATCGATCAATTAATCGATTGATTGATTGATTGTTTGTTCGATAGATTGATTGGCTGATTGATTGATTGACTGATCGATTGATCGATTGATTGACTGGTGGATTGATCTATTTACCGATTGATCAATTGATTGATTGATTGATTGATTGGCTGATTGACTGATCGATTGATCGATTGATTGACTGGTGGATTGATCTATTTACCGATTGATCAATTGATTGATTGATTGATTGATTGATTGATTGATTGATTGATTGATTGATCGATGGATTGATTAATTGTTCACTTGATTGATTGATTGATCGATGGATTGTTGATTGGATTGATTGATTGATAGATCGTTTAGCAGATTGATCAACGGATTGATGGACCGATTGATTGTTTAATTGATAGATCGATCAATCAATTGATTTATTGATTATCAGTGATTTTTCTATGGTATGCAATAACTCACCAAAACAGGTAACTCCCACGCCAACGAAACCAGATTTGCACTTGCATACAAATGAACCATTGTTGTTGATACAGTCAGCATTCGGATCACAATTATTATTTTCATCATTTGTACATTCATTAATGTCTTGTTTTGAGACAAAAAAAAATATCATTAAAACTGAATTGTATTGATAAATAGTTAGTCGTTGATGAGCGAAGGTTTTTAATTAATTTTGCTTCCACAGAAATTAGTACTGTTCCGTAATCCTACCTTCAGTAGAATTACATTAAGTAAGTTTACAATTCGCGTTAGGTTCAGCATTAGGCTAAAGCATTTTCAACTATTCATCAAGATTCCGATTTCTCTTCTGCTAAAAAAACAAGCTGTAGACGACAGTGTCACTAGCCGCCTGGTATCTAAAGAGGGCGTTCCCTGCAAATATCCTGAGCAAAAAAAATACGCTTAAGTAGGAATTCACCGCACGTTACCTTCTTTTTCCAGCAAATGATTGACAAAATTTGTTATTGTGATATTGTGATATAGTGTCACGGTAATATTGTGATAGTGTGTTGATTTCAAAAGGGACAAAAAGTCATCATTACCTGTACAGCTTAGGCCATCACCATTGAACCCAGATCGGCATGTGCAGTTGAAACTTCCAATTGTATTTAAGCAATTCGAATCAGCATGGCATGGGTAAGAGGTAGTACTACTACACTCGTTAATATCTGAAATGTTTATGGTATATAAACAGCCTTATTAAAAGTATAAGTAACAGCATTCACAGTATTTTCTGTGTAATACAAGCAATGTGACATACACGACATATTTTTCATTATCTTTGAAAACCTTCAAATGTTAAAATTAGAAACATTCAGATGATGGTGATAAAAATGCAAACATTTATAGCAAACTTTAACAATATAGTAATACTTCTATTACAGGGTTAATAAAAACGATCAGGCCTAACTAAAAAATTGTAAGTAAAACAAAACATCTTGAGAAAAATCTTACCCATGTTGAGTGCAAATTTAAGGACATAGTTTACATTAAAGCAAATGCGTAGGGTATTAAGTAATAATAATAAACAATAACAATAGCTGGCAGGTAATAAATGATGATGGTGGTGAGAACAGCAATAATTATATTAATTTTATAGTAATAATAATAATAATAATAATATAATAATAAAATAATAATTAATTCCTATGACATTTTAATAGTATAGAACAGTATCTTACCATTGCATATAAATGTGCCTGTTAAAAGTTCATAACCTTCCTTGCAGATGCATTCGTAGCCCCCTTTTGTATTATTGCACACTGCAAGTTCGTCACACATATTCATTCCGTCATCACGGCATTCATCTACATCTAGATTTTGAAATTGGAATCTATATTTATTTAAACTAGTATTTTATATAATTACTTTTGAAATTCTTTCGAACTTGATGGCCCATGCCAAAGCCGAAGCATGGGGAATGTAGAGAAAAAGACTGAAACAGTACAGTAGGCATGTTCAAAGTCCACAACCTCTAAGCCGGGCACTCACTGCGCCCGACGGCCGACGCGATTCTATAAAGAACGCAACGCGACGACGCGCGAACAATGGGTCGTTTTTAACCAACAATCTGCAGACGGCGTCGCGTGGTCGAGCGCATACAGGAAGCAGAGTAGGATTCGTATTGCAACAATCGTACAACCGCCGTACGACGCAGTGAGTGCCCGGCTTTAACCCAAACCTAAGCATCATATATTGAAACAGTGGTGGCGCTAAGATTTGCCAAAATAATGGGGGAGGTGGTCTCTGAAAGGGAAATTTGTCCCCAACAAAAGTTCATGTGGTCGGTGCAGGTGGCGAAGTCCAACAAAGCTTGTTTATCGAGTTTAGAATGTAAAATGACATACGTAGGCCTACTCCTTTTTTTTTTCTCCACAACGAATTGTGTTGAGCCTATATGTAAGGGTATTTGATATTGATTGGGGTATAACTGGCGGGGCAGCTCCCGACCTTCGTAGTCCAACTCCCACTGGCACACCGCTGTTTCATAAGGCTTAAGACCGCAGCCTGCAAACCAATTCTAAAGCCAGTTTTCTACTAGGCGAATTTATTTGCGTGAACAGAATGCGCTTGCGCATTCACATTCCTATCGGAGTTTTTGCGAAGCGAAAAAAGGCGCAACCAATCAGAGCTCAGGAAGCGAACCGACGCTTTGAATCGCGCGAATAAATTTGCCGAGTGGAAAACAGGCTTTAGACTTAAAATTTGCCCTAAGAATACTTTTGTTTTGAATTCCATTGTATGCTGGTTTAAAACTGTATTAAAGTTGTACTTTTTCGTTTGTGTGTGGTCTCAGTTGTTTGGAAGCTTCTAACACTACGAATATCACGAAGTCACGATCTGAAGTTGAATTGTAGTTACAATTGTGCAATATAATATCGATCATTCTTACCAGTGCAATTTCCATTAGATAGTTCAAAGCCAATGTTACAGATACATTCTGATCCATTTACACCAGTGCTGCAAGCACCGTACTCACACTCCAACGAACAGTTTCCTTCAGCTAAATAATAAAAAGTACATTTGAATATGTTTGGTGCATTGTATAATGAAATTGCTATACCACTCATGCTTTATCACTTAATATTATATTCTACCCTAGCGGTTTTCAAACTATGGATCACGTCGTAAGATTGGGTGGCTAAATAAATTACAGAGTCAACATATGTTTTTGGATTTCTATTTTTGGATTTTTTAAATATATATATATTTATATATATTTATATTTATTTATTTATATATTTATATAATTATAATTATATTATTTATATAATTATTTTATATAATATTCAGCAGTATATACTCACACAAGCAAAACTCTCCATCTAAAACAAGACTACCCGGGCAGGCGCATGTGAAGCTTCCATTAGTATTCACGCAATCGTGTGAACAATTATGTGTATTTATCTCGCACTCGTTGATATCTGGAAAATTTTAAAAAGAAATTATCAACATGTCATATTCAAGCATTCAAGCTCTTTTTATTCATCAAGTTCACAGTTAAAACAGAATTACATTGACGTTTACATAAATTTAAGAAGAACAATAAAAATACTTAAAAAATTAAGCAACAATTTAAAAAAAAAGCTATTTAAAGAAAGACAAAAATTAAAAAAAAAAATACAAATTAGAAAAATATTTTTTTAAAATCAATAAAATGCATGGATAAAATGTAAAACAGGTAGGTAATTAAAAATTGTACAGGACAATAAAAAAAAAACATTTCAATAAACTTGGAATAAAAATCAATATAATTGCTACAATAAGGTGAGGTTTATGAACAAACAATATTTAGCAATATAACAACAATATACACAATCCGTTTTGAATCCGTTCATGTCTTTCTCGAATAAACGCCCCTAAGTAACTGTAAAAACAACATCCTCAATCAACACATTCTATTAATATTCTACTTCAATAGAATTACATCAAGGGCGTTTATTTTGGAATATATATATATCCATTTTACACACAAAAATATTACGCCTCCCCTGAATAAATGCCTCCCTCGAATAAACGACCCCACACCATCCAAAACTCCTACTCAACATTAAACGCCCTAGGCTTTTATTTGAATAAATACGGTGTATACAATAATATACATTTAAAGAAGAAAAAACAGTTCCTCCCATTCAAAATAACAATGACATTGGAGATCAAGTAATATACTTGCAAAAATTGATTTTAAAAATAAATTATACCTTCACATGTGACTCTGTCTCTGATTAGGTAGCCGGATGGACAACTGCAGATGTAGGAACCATCGGTGTTTTCACAAGACCCAATGCTATCACACGGACTACTTAATTCGCATTCGTTTTTGTCTAAATGTATATACAGACTATTCAGATTACATTAGGAAGTAGCACATTGATACTACAGTAGTATTATTATCAAAGATATCGTAGCATGCTGTATAGAAGATACCTACAGAAACACACAAGCCAAAGTCATCTCTCCAGGTGGTGAGACCAAACTATTTCTGACTACAGTAGTATTATTATTATTATTAATTTTCAGAATCCAAATTTGGAATTGATTTATTTGTATAAGGAATATCTTGATATTGAAAGCTCAAAAACATTGTCCTTGCAGAACCTTACTATCATATACATTAAGCCTATATTACTGCATTCCAATTATCTATATATTGTTTGTCTCCAGAAAGTTTAGATAAATAGAAAATTATTTGAAAGTACAGGATACATAAATGTTAAATATTTCAACGAGTAACATCATTCTTAACAATGTTTGGAAAATATTGATATTCGAAGGAACTCTTTGATGATTTTGATGGGATGATGATGACGATGATAACGATGATGTCGATGATGATGATTATGATGAGTATGATGATACAGGTGATTATGATGACGATGACAATGATTATGGTGATAGTGATATTGCTGATGGTGGTGGTGATGGTGATGATGATGATGATGATGATGATGGTAGTATTGATGATGATGATGATGATGATAATAATAATAATAATAATAATAATAATAATAATAATACATACATACATACAAACACACACACCTACACCCATACATACATAAATACACACATATATACATACATACATACATACATACATTTCTATCATGTTTATAATTTTTTTTTTCTAAAAAGGGTAAATTATTTCTTACCGTCGCATGTATTATTATTCATGGTATAGCCATCATTACACATACACATGTACGAGCCTATAGTGTTTATACAGTATCCATTCACTGAGCAATCATGCTCGCCGGTCTGGCATTCATCATTATCTAAAAAAAGTAATCGTAAACCCGTTTATAACACCGACTACATTGTATCTCTTACCTTTAGTTTAAAGATTTTATGCACACATAGCAAACATGTTCATATGCACGCTGCATATGCATGTTGAATGGAAGAACATAAACATGACAGAGAGACAAGTGAAATGACAGGAAAATTGTATAACTACTAGTATTTGAATACTTTAATTAAAAAAAATAATGAATAATAATAAACTTCTGTAAATAATAAATAAGCCTAATCATGTTAAAAATGACTGGAAATTGTAAAATCGCGAAAACAAAAGGTCGCGAAATATTAAAAATTGTAAAATCGAGAAAATATAGGGCCGCGTAAAAAAGGGGCTCTACAGTAAATAAGCCTAATGGTTTCCAAAAACATTATGGTTTGAATTTATTCAATGCTTATTAATACGTAATAAAAATTAAACGATAAAATGGATTGAAAGCTAATGGTCAGAAATTAATTTTGCTGATTTAATATATTATTAAAAATGTCTGTTAATTAAAAGCGCCTTGAGCACTTTAGTGGAGATGTGCGCTTAATAAATCTTATTATTATTATTATTATTATTATTATTATTATTATTATTATTATTATTATTATTATTATTATTAGTGAATTGTATTGCTGAATTGAATATTTGAATTCCTAACTCAACCTTTTTATAGTATTTAAGTGTTGTATGAAATGTTTTTTTATGTGCAATTAGTTTTTTTAAATATGTTTAAATTGTAGGTTTTTGTAAAAGTAATGGTAATATTAATAGTAGTTGTGATAATAATAATAATTTATAGGATTTTATATTTTATAGTTTCTATTTTTGTAATTAATCATCTCAATTAAATTTATTGTGCTATGATAATTGAGTAAAATATAACGGAATAAATATATCATTGACAATACAATAACTGTCAATATTTACATTGGACTGTTTTTTAATTAGGGCAAAAAAAATGTGTTGTTGCCCTTAAATGGAAAAAAAAAATCGAGATCGTCGGTCGGTCGAGTGTACCTGAAGGCCTCAAACTGCAGTCCCTATATGATGACCCTAGGCATAAGGCCAACTATGCACCACAATAGAATGATTTCAAGCTTGCTAAACAAAAGTATTCAAAGTATGACGGAATAAATACTAACCAAGTTAATATTGAACAAAAATAAATCAGTTTAAAGAAAGATGTATTTACCTTCGACACGTAAAATAATTATATATATATATATATATATATATATATATGTATATATATGTCTCTATATATATATATATTCCATTTAAGGCAACAGAGAAATATATATAGGCTTATGTGTGTGTATGATGTGTGGAAAACTTACCAATACAAGCTTTTCCAGTTGCTGTATACCCATCTTCGCATGTACAAATGTAACTTCCAATTGTGTCTTCACATGTAGCACTAATGCTACATTGATGGGTCATCATTGCACACTCGTCCACGTTAGTGCAGAAAGTTCCATTGCCGGAATAACCACTAACACACGCGCATTTATAGGATCCAGCGGTATTGCGACACTCTGCGTTGACGTCACATATGAATGAGTTTCCTTCACATTCGTTGATATCAGTACATTCTAGGCCATTGCCTTGATATCCATTTAGACATGTGCATGTAAATGAGCCCTCATCATTTTCGCAGGTTGCTAATTGATCACAAGGAATGTCAATGCATTCGTCAATATCTAAGAACCCAAAATAAAGATTATAAACAATTATTGTAGGCTACAGTAAAAGTATTAACATCTACATATATACAGTAGATCACAATTAAGAGGTCTCTTTGGGAGTTAGCAGTAATGATGAAGTTACAATTTTCCCCCGCTCCGCGACCAAACAGTGCCACCCTCCTCCCCTGGGGTTTCCGATGTCCAGCTCAAAATTTTTCGAAAGTGGTTCGGGTGGGAATCGAACCCACGACCTCCAGGGGTCTAGCCTGATGTCCTAACCACTAGACCACTTAGTTTGCGCTTGGTGACTAGTGATTAATCCGATCCCCTAGTATTGCTATAACTTCAGTACCCACTGCTACTAGAGGATCAGATTCATTTTTTTACAGAAAAATTACATTGCAGGTAAAAATGATGTCACGATTGATTTAAATTAAGATTAATGCAGCGCTCATCGACTGACAACAACCATGTAGCAATGATCAATAATCGCGTAGCAACAGTTAATAATCATGTGGCAACTGTCAATAATTAGGTAGGTAGAACGCAAGATCGTTCGTTTTGATTCAAGAAAATTACATTACAGGTAAAATGATGATTGATATCGATTGGCATATGATAAGATTTACATAAATTATATTACAACTATAGGTAAAATACAACCTGTGTAGTAGCCTATAAAAAACACATGTTTTATAACAATACATTGCATATTATTATTTTCATTTACGCGATAAAATAAAAAAAAATGAAAATATCATAAAGTCCTAATCCTTGTAAAGCTGGGGCCTACCTTGGCAGTTTATTCCATCACCACTATACCCTGTGTTACATGTACAGCTGTAGGTTCCTATATCATTTGTGCAAAACGCATTCACACTGCAGTCATTTTCTTGAAGACATTCGTTAATGTCTAAATACAAACAAATAATGCAATATTACAATGCTGCTACATACACACATACAGGTCTTCCTGCAACTAAAGACCACTGTTGGGACCAGGGTTTTTTATGGTCTTTAGCAGCTTTGGTCTCTAATTAGAATAATAAAAACAAAAGACAGTTGTTGATTTGGGACCGCGGAAAAGTGGTCTTTAATTGAAGATGTTTTTAATTTGAATTGGATTTGTATTATACATGAGTTTCAGTTTATTTATTTACCACACTTAAAAAATACAAAGCACAGCACAGGTAATGGTAAAACATAGCGGGGAAATGCAAAAGTGTTGAAGGAAGCATAAGCGCCTTAATATATTTTTTTAAGAACACCGAGCAGATAAATATTCAATAATTAGACATATAATTCATCGTGAATAAATGAATGTAAGTAATATGAAAAATGATAATTTAAAAAATTAAAACGAAAATTGAAAAAAAACCCAAAAAACAAAGTATCAAGATGCTAGCAACAATATGCAGAGACCAGGGCGCTTTTGAGGTTTGTTCTAAAGCTAGCACCTGATGGTTTATTAGTAAGAGATGTTGGTAATTTATCCAAAATTTAGGGCATATAACTCAAATTTGTTTATCATAGCAATGTTTGACCTATAAAGTTACTAATTCGATGTATGTGGGCTTCTATATTAAGTTAGAATCGATGGTAGTAACTAGAAACTTGGTTTCCTCAACACGCAATATTTCATTATTATCAAATACAGTAGTATACGGAAGTTTTCATAAAGTTTCCGTTTACAACCAAAAATAATGTAATTAGTCTTAGCAATGTTGAGGGATAATTTATTAGATTTGAACAAGTTTGAAACATTCTCAAACTCAATTTTAATAATTTTAAATAATGATACTAAATTTAAAATATATTAGAGTCCTCTGCAAACATAATGAATTATACAATTTTAGGCAAATCATTCACATAGAGTAAAACCAAAAGAGGGCCCAGTATAGACCCTTGGGAACACACGGGACTTGAGACATTTTGGAATTAATTGAATTAAAGTAAGTAATCTGCTGACGGTTTGAGAGGTAGTGTGTAAAAGGTTTGAGAAGAAGGCCTCTAATAACATATATACCAAGTTTTTTTTAGAAGTATTTCATTATTAATGATATCAAAGGCCTTCCATATATCAAGAAAAATACCTCCAGTATATTCAATATTTTGAAGGGCTTTCTTTATTTTATCATATATATAAATTAAAGCAAGGTTCCTTAAGAAACCCTTCCTAAATCCGTATTGTATAGGGTCAAGAATACATGTTTCATAACAAAGTCATAGAGTCTGTTGGAAACTAGGCGTTCCAAAATCATAGGAACAGTAATAACGAAATCGGTCTATAATTGCTAAAAATGTGAGGGTCATCTTTTCTGAAGATAGGAATAACTTTTGCTGTTTTAAGTAAGTTGGAAAAGATGCCATTAAGAAAACATATAATAAATATATGACAAGACGGTTTAGAAATTGAGCTGGCTACTGTATACGTTTAATTACAATGTTGGAAAAAATTATCAAACTGATTTTGTGGTTTTCTTTCTTTGCAGATATTTTGAGTTAAAAAACCTACAAAAACTATATACAAGAATAGCAAATAAACAGCACATAAGTATTGATACAGTACTGTGTTAAATGATATCGTCGATTAACTGTACTTGGAGAAGAGAGACGAGTGCAGGAAAATAGTTAACAATACAACAAAAAATGACTAATCTTACTACGGGGTAGAAAAACTACAATGTACTCTAACTTACCATTACATGACATAAAATCATTTTGAAGTGAATACCCTTCAGAACAGCTACACTCAAAGCCTCCCAGAGTATTGGAGCATAAATGGTCGCAACCCGCATTATTAACCATGCATTCGTCATAATCTGAGTATAAGCAAATTGAAATCATTTCCGGAGTACGTGTCTCAATCAAACTTAAGAATTGACCAGAACAGTGCCAGGAATAGGAGCATGCCCAACAAACACATGTTGTCCAATAGACGCACGTGTTTACGTACTGTGTAGGACCTTGCAAGAATATCGAAGGGGCGGCGCTAACGGAAAGGTTCATTATTAATGTGAATGAGAAAACAATTCCATTAATAATTGCTAGATGAACATGACCATTTTTCATATTATTAGCAGTATAAACTTAATGACCAATAATCGATGTACAGTAAGTAAATCAGTAAAATATTTTTAGTACTGTAGTAGTATAATTAGAAATCGTCATAAACCAACAATATATTAATTAACAGTAACGGCGATGACGATGACGACGGCGATGATGATATTGATGATGATAATAATGATCATGATAACGAGGTTGTCGATTAGGATGTTGTTGTTGATGTTGATGATGATGATGTGGATGGTTACGGGGATGATGATGTTGATGACAGTGATGATGATGATAATATTTTCACCACCATCTTCATTATATCATTATTAAAAAGTAATAAATAATAATTTTGTTCCAAATAAACAAACAGTATACGAATGTTTATCATCTTTAACCAAGATGGCCGCAAGGTACATAAATAGCAGTAACACAAACCATAACACTTGAATCCATCTCCAACTAAGCCAGATGGGCAGCTGGCACATGTAGCATTGGGATCTGGTGCTACATTATCTGTACAGAGAACGCCTGGGTAGCATGGAGCATCAGCACAGGCATTAAAATCTTGGCTGCAATCTATTCCAGTGTATGCTGGGTGACATGTACATGGATGTATAAGAGACAGACCTTATATTATATTATATATTAGGCCCTATTTTATCTATTTTGGTATAAAAGAAATACAGAACAGCAGCCAATGATTGAAAGCGTTTGTATACAAAACAATTGATTGTTATTTTTTATCAGGGCAGATTTGGTGTAACCTCGTCTGCACTAGTGTGATAGCCTGTGAGTTACGATTAAACTACGGGTGTGTTCCTAAATTTAAATAATTTTATTTTGGCTACCCATCTTTACTTCCTTTATTCATATTATTCTCTTCTTTTCTGGTTTAAGATGCGGTATTTAATATAAAGTATAAATGACAACAAACAAATATTTATCACAACCGCTGACCACATCCAATTGAAGAACACTATCTAAACGTTAGAACTTTAACATACCTTATTCCGGTTTAAACTTTCATATTTTTATTCAATTTGTTTAATAGTTTTTTCTATCTTTATCATCGTTATTTTTTTGTGATTCAATAAAAACAGGAGCTACACAGGTGTTAATGCAGCTTCCTATAGCGAATAATGAATTCAGTTGCTGGTATCAGTTGACTGGAACAGTCGTAGCAGCAGGATTTTTATAATAGTATATAATATAATAACCATTAAATCATTATAACAAGCCCCAGTTCTGATTTATTCTTCATAATTGCGTAAACATGCTTTTTATACGTCACCATTAATTTTTCATTTTTCAACATTAATAAAAATTTTAACAGCCCTAAATAACAAAATAAAAATGTTTTAAGTACAAAGTTCCAATCATAAATATTTTCTTTTGTTTGACCATTACTTACAGCAAAGCCTTCATCTAAAATATCTGAGTTATCATCCACTGTTCCGAAATTACATGTACCACCATTTTTACAGTCACATAACAATGTCAAGAATTCTCTGGTAGAATTTGCTACACCATCACTTGCGACTACGCCAAGTCTAATCATAGTTGTATCTTGTGGGGTCCACGTAAGCACCCCAGCTGTGAATAAATTTATAGTCAGAAAAAATATAATAAATTTATGATATGTATGTATTTATTTATATTCATATTATTAAAAAGAAATACAGTGTATATCTCTCTATATCAAATAAACGCGTATACAATATGACTTATCCCTAATTTATTACAGCAAGAAACTCACATGTTGGATCAACCGATGCTCCAGCTACGGGCTGCAGAAGAGAGAATGTAATTTCATCACCGTTTTCGTCTGTAGCAACCACAGTAAATGTGTAATTCTCGCCAACAATTGCATAGAAATAGCTGCCATTTAAGACACCATCTGCGTCTTGAATTAATGTGATATTAGGCGGGAAATTCACTGCAACGATATAACATTGTAAACGGTAATCTACAAACATTGGACACTCTAAAAATAATATTTATTATTTATTCATTTGAACATATGCATTTTATATATTGTACAAATGCTGTGTATTTAGCTTAACTTACGCTTAATACAAACTATAGCACATGAAATAATCAGAAAAACATAAATAAAGCAAAATTAATTGAACAAGGGAAAACATTTGAAATCATAAAGGGAAAGAGTGTAGTTATAGAACATACATTATCGTCGAATACCGTTCAACTACGATACTAAATTGTATATTATTTAAAACACTTACTTAATTCCTGTACATCGTTTGTAATAACGTCGTTAGTTTCAAGCGTATTGGCACCTGTACTGGTATCTTTTGTTGCCAGAGAATCAAACAAGCACTGGGAGTTGTCCCCACATGTTTGAACTGCATTAGAGTACAACTCTGTACCTTGATTCTCTGCTACTAAATCTTCTAAGAACTTTGGGACAAACGTCTCGTTATTAATTGTATCGTGCGATTCACCTGGTCTGTATGTAAATAATGATTCTGATTCTGAAATCCGCCCTGCAAAGTCATGAGAAATATATTTTGTTATTTTGTTGTTTCTTCATTAACATAAAGGTACAAATAAAGAGAATGATTATAAAACTTTATTATACAAGAATAGGCGAGACGCAATTTTCTTATAATTATGTAGAATTAATTAATAAATAAAAAACACGAAATAAATAGTGTACCAAAGCAGTTGTTCTTAAAACTTTAACTAAATAAATCACTTCAATTTATTAATTGATTACCGTATATTACCAAAGCCTACATACATACGTGTAAATATCATTGATCATAAGTGTCAGTCATTGTAAATCAAGAATGTTCTCTTGCATAACCAAGAGATTTCGTTAAATTATCCAACTTCTATGTCTCAGATTTTGTCCGATTTTTTGTATGTTTTCCTTCACAAAATAAACTTCAAATACAAGTTAAAAAACTTTTTGTTGCAATTTTGTCCACCTTCGGTGGTGTAAAACAGTAGATTGCCTGGAATATTTAGAGAGCAACTTAGCTTAGTCGGCTAAACTGGTGGTAGCCACTGTGTGTGCGCTGAACCGTGGAGAACACAATACACTCTTTGAAAAGCAGTACACAGGGATTGTATCCCTGTGTACTGCCTAGTCACCCACAGAAGGACCCCACTCGAAGTAAGTTTTCTTCAGACTTTCGTGTGTTATCCTTGGTGTTTACACCGAATAATTCCAGTCCAGACCAAAGTTAAAACAGTATACTTGCTCATTATCAATAAGGTTAAAATTATGGATGTTGATGATGATTATTATGATGATGATGATGATGATGACGATGGTGTTAATTATGATGATAGATGATGATTTTATTGATATATAACAAAGAATCAAAAGAGCGTGATATATCTGGTACATGCATTATTGATAATGTCACAGGTTTATTATTGGATATGAATAAAGTATTATTTTGTTTTGCTACTTACAAGAATTTCCAAATTGGAAAAGTTCAGCTCCAGTGTATACATCACCCTCTTTTGAAAGTGGCTCAACTTTACCTCTTTCCACAAAATCATCTGTTACATTATCATTCCAGACTCCTGTTATAATAACGATAGTAATGCAGTGATTGTGAAAAAAAATATATAGGCCCAAATTTATTGCATGGCTGTTGTAGTTCTTGAAATCCTTTTCCTTTAAATAGAATATAGTTTAGATGTATTTTGTTTTTTGGTTTATTTTTCTAGTTTTGTTTTTGTTTCATGATTTTATTTTATACCACCATTTTTTTTTACTTTGCATAATCCATTTTCAGTACTAAAGTTACTGTTACTGTATTTTCATCCATTATTTGTATGTTTTAATTATTTTTCATAATTCATAATGTTATTCATCTTGTTAAATAAGTTCATTATATTTAATCATTTGTATAAAATCTCTTATTCATTGTTATTAATAATTATTATCTGAAAATGAATTAATGATATTATTCAATTATATTATTTAATCGGGTTTTTTTCTACAAACCTAAGAGTCCTCTAGCCTTGCCCTTGTAAATCACTGATGCTTGGAAAACAATATTCAACATTCCACTGGAAACAGCTACTGAAAAGGATACGCCATCTGACCAAGAGGCCAAATACCTGGCTCCACCGCTAGCCAACTCTCCGTCGACAAGTTGAACACTAAAAGATATATCCTCATCACTCGTGTATGAATCTGCCAATGAAATATTATAGTTTATATACAGATGATAGGCCATATGTAACCTAGTCTAGTCAGTACATACATATGGTTTAACTGATGGTCTTTAGTAGATAAAACTTCATTGCCCTCGTTTAGATCCTGGCAATAATTTTTTTCTGCAATATTGAATAGCTACGCTGATTTGAATTTGCACCAATATTATTAGTGCAAAAGGTGAACACTCTTAAACTGTCATTGTTTTACAAATTGTATTATATTGTAGTTTCAAAATAAATCAAATTTGTCCTCTTTATTCAAAAACCCCACTTACTCAACAAGGTCACCTACCTTCAACAAGTGCTGTTTTATTTATAGCTGTTCCATTTACAAGTATATCTAAATCCAACGCATTTTCCGTAATCCTCATTTCAACCTTCGATAAAAAAGGGGGTTTGTTTAACAAATCATTTACTCTAATTCACTTACTCATGTAAATATGAGCCACACGCGTCTATTAATTTTAATATACCAATTATTGGTATTATAAAGGCATATATATATATATGTATATATATATGCCTACATATATATATATATATATATATATATATACTGTATATTTATATACACGTCTATTAACATAAATATACCAATTATTGGTATTATAAAGGCATATATATATAGACCTACAT